TCAAAATTTTATTTAAATAGGTTTTGAAAGACATTTGATGAAATTATGAAGAAGGTAGAGACTATTACAAAGTAAGGTTGCCCTCTTACAAATTATTGCCTAAATTTTTTATATAAGAATAATCGATGAATTATACATTGTATTGCATTATTTTTGAATCAGAAAACCATTAAAACTGTGAACATTTTAATGCCAAGCGCATAACAATTTTGTAGCGTGTAACGATTGTTAAAAAGTTATTACAAACAATATGAAATGTACAATAATGAATTGAAAAAGTGCTATTGATATTCTCTAATTGCATCAATCACTCGTATAGTTATTTTATAGTTTAGCTATGATAAAATTTCTCTTTTGCTAAATTAGAATGAAAGGAAAAGGAAGTATATTTATCACTTAGTTTAGCATTCATGAAAAGACTAAGTTTGTAATCAATATCTTAGTTACTAGCTCATAGATTATGCTAATAATTAGTTTATTAATTTAATTTTCCACTCAGTGTTTGCATTGAAATCTCGCTTTGCAATAACTGAACTATTAATTTAATTTTCTACTCTATATTTTTTTCTGAAATCTTGCTTTTCTCATGTTATCACAAGTGTCATGATGATAGTTTGCCTATTAATTTAATTTTCCGTTTCATTTTTCCTCGAAGTTTTTGCGTTTTACGAATTTTTATAACTATCTTTTAATTTTCAATTTGTTTTATATATTTAAAACAGTGCTGTCATAATAATCTGCGAATTGCATCAAGCATAATTTGTTGATGTTACTAAGATTTTATCAGAAGTCATCATTATAAAGCAAAGAAAAAAAAAAGATAACAATGCAAGGCATCCTTCTGTATTAACATAGAAGCGTACTTCACTCAGTACGGAAATATTATTTAACGAAGAAGAATAAAAATAATAGCTACATCAAAAAAATTCCGAAATAAACTTTTCAATGGTGTAGTTATCATTCATTACTTGTGAATTGTTTGAAAATGTTAAAATGGCTAAGATTCTTTGTAATTTTTTGAAGTAATACTAAAGATTTTATGACTATCACTGTAATTCGTACAGTAATAGTTACAAAATCTTGACAGATTTCGTAGGTTCCTTCAAAAATTAATTTCATAATGTAACATAAGAATTCTCGGTACAAATGTTGAACACATCGTGTTACTCAGAGTAGCATACTGTATGTTCACTATGATGGTTTCGCGCACTACCTGGTCTGAACATCATAGGTAAATGTGAGGTGCCGAGATCCTTGTCATAGCCGATATTGCTGTATTTGGGTGGAGGAAAATTCGGAAAGGAAGGGGGGGGAAGGGGAGGAGGTTAATTCCGAGTTATTGTTTTTGCATCTTAAGTGGTTCATATGCTTTCACTGTCTCTTATAATTATTTTATGCATTTTTTTTTTGAACTAACAAAATTATTCCCTTAAAAATGCTAACATTACATTGTAGTTTTCATTTCCACCAGTCGGTCGCATTTGCACTCCGCAATTGTCATATCAGAGGTTTACGTATAAAGTCAGAATTGCTTAGTAAATGTTTGCAAGGCTTTCAGTGGTTAAATCTGTTTCCTTTTTTTTTTCATTGGCCAATTGTCTGGTTGAGTATTTTGCTGAATGTGTAACACATTTTATGACTTACGGCAGGAGTATAGGGAGTAAAAATGTGTTTTTTTTTTTTAAGGATAGTCAAGTTGCATGTTTATAGAGTTCTATGGTGCTTCAAATTACCATTTGTCCTGAATTATTTCACTTGTAAAAATGCTTTTCAGAATATATGGGAAAGGACTGTGAATGCTTGTGACAAAAGTAGAGCAGAGCGAAGTACGACAGCTCGTAGACGCTTTTAAATCTGAAGGCTCATTTGATAAACTAAGGAAAAAAATTTTCTCCACAATCGCTGCTACTGTATGTAAAGTTTTTGAAGATTAAAATACAATATTGCAGTATAGTAGATGTTGAATCACTTAGAACAAATAGCAAGGCTATCATTTAGTATTTATTTATTGCATAATAACTTTTCCAGTTGTCTGGGAAATTTTTACTTGATACTTAAACATGATTCCTACTTTCTAACTTTCGCTAATCATATGGCATTCTTTTTCCTACATGTTTACGGCTTCCAGCATTCTTTACTACCTCACTATGTGGACTGTTCAGGGAAGTTTAGTGGAAAATTATGTTCAGTTCAGATTGATTTTCATTTTTAACTTCGGTATGGAGAAGCATTGATAGGCTTGCAGGATCGTTATCAAAAAGTGGCGTTAAATGCTGAAGAAATTGTTGGCGATTTATTAGAGACATCTGCACCAGATCTCACAAAAAATAAAGCGCTCGATATACTCAGGAAGAAGCTTCTTGCCCTTTACAGTGCACAGTATGGAATTATGATCACTGAGGTTTGTTTCTCCTTTCCTTTTTTTCTCTATATATTTCATATTTTCACTAAAATTAACGAAGTATAACTTTACAGGTATATATAACAGCTTATTAATTTTAGGGATTGGATGCCGGTGAAACATTATGTAGCTTACTGGAAGAGATCGGCCACTATGTTGATTCATTTCTTGGGCTAACAAAAAAGGAATTGCTTGAAAATGTTCAAGCGCAGCAGCCCGCTGAGGATCATGAAGTATAATGATTTCTATTAGTGAAAAATTAATGATCGAGAGCTCGATGAGAATAGAGAGATCAAGAAATCTCATTTCAATTTGTTGGAAAAAATGTAATTGGAGTTATACTTACAGGTTTGTGATATGGAAATAGATTCGGATTCCGAGCAAAGCCCTGAAACCAGTTCAACCAAAGAGATTCCTTTATCTGATATAGCTCTTCCATCAGCTACTTATCCAAATTCAAATTTGTCCTTCACAATGTCATATCCTCATGCGGCGCTTGCTAAGGCTTGTGTAATTTTGCTGTTTAATATCCGTTCATTGGAACGTATATTTTTCTGAATCCTTAACATTAGCTGGTGCACTAACAGAGGATACAATCCGAAAGACAGTTCAGGCTTCTAAGTCTTTTAGGTTTAAGTCGAGTCAATCATGTGGTTTCAGTAATTTTAATATCTTTACATAAAAAGTTTCGGGGGAAATATTTCCATTTGTTTTTTTTTACCACTTACTCTTACTTAATTACACTATTTATTTGAGGATAGTTGAAGTTTTTGTCAATAATTAAAAATAACATGCTTCGTTAGATTTCCATTACTTATAGAAAAAACAAAGACAAGCCTTCTGTATGAAACATATGTGTTATGGGTTGTAAAAAGTCAACAGTAAACCCTGGAGGCCATATTCAAGATCACATATTATATTAATGCTTTAACCTTTTCTAATTTTATTAACTGTTTTTACTAGTAATTAATTGTCAATTTGGAACAATTGAATGACTGAGTCCATTCATCTTGAAGTTTTTTCTTTCACTTTTGAATTGGTTTCTGGGCGTCTTAATGTACTGATTTTCAGATGCCATCCGTTCCAAGCACTACTAACTCATATAGAAACTGTAATTCTGTGGGTACGTTAGCCAACAGTGTTTTTTCTATAAATTTGCCTCCTTTGAGTAAGGATATTTGCTTTAAAATTACGGGATTTTTTCCATTTATAATATTTTAAGCTAACATGGCCTACGCTGAATCGACAAATGAAATAATAACTGCTAGATCGAAATCGCTCCTCAGACACTCTGCAAATGGGGATAATGGAGCTTCATTTACCTCGTACCAAGCACAAAAAACTGTCACAAAAAAATTTTACCTGAACTCGAGGGTAAATTTATATTGTTTTGGCATAAGCTCTCTTTTTATTGAATTTTTTCACTTCACTTTATCCTCAATATTCTTTTTTTTTAAATTTCGTGCAAAGCAGTGACTCTGCTTATTTTTTTGAATGTATTTTCATCTTTTTAAATATCAAATTAATTATGGGAATTTATGCAGGAAGCAGTGGCATCCAAGCATTACATGGCATCAGCTATGCAATATCGTAGAAATCATCGACGCAAAGCTTGTAATGGAGAATTTGGATACTACTGATGGAACTACCTCCCGACTTTTGTGGTGCACTTCATATACGAGATTATATTGTTTGTAACTGCAGTCACTTTTTCTTCATAGAGCGCTAGCATCGCAAAAATTCTCTCGAAATGAATTTTCAGGATTGAGTATTTTATCTTTTATGGTTGTCTTGTTTCTTTTTTGGTTTTCTGTTGCCTAATTCATTTGTCTTTCAGAATGTTTATATGACATTACAACATCAAATTTGCACTTGATACAGTGAATAGATTAAAGTTTCTATCATGTTTTGCAGTGGATTAAATTCAGCAAATTCTGTTTTAGATCCTCACTTTGTGGTCCAACATATACCTTTGATGGGTCATCCGTCAGTTTCGTAAGGTATTCGCTGAAAAATTGTTTTAGAAAAAATGAGATGGGAGGAGAAGGCTTTATTTGTCATTCTTTTATGAAGTAAAGTGGAGCAAATACTAACCGACCATGTCCTGATATCCAATCAATCATAGCATGGAGGTTATGTAACAGTGTTTTAGAAAGAATGAAGGATAATATGTATGTTGTTACTAAATTTTAAGGTGGATCGGGTGAAACCGAGTGAGATAAGATCAAATAGAGTAACTCACAAATTATTAAGTTCTGACATGCTGACAGCATAGAAATCAACATTCGGCATTCGGCGAATTTCTTCTGCTGGCTTACTGGCATCATCTTGCGAGAAACTACAATGTGCGTGTTTAATGAAGTTCTCATCTTTTAGAACATTTTTATGTTCTATGTCTTACAAATGGTAATAGTTTGAAACTGAATTACTACTTCCCATATTATCAACTGTAAAATCCCGAATTCTGATCTGTCTAGAATATCAAAAAAGTGGCGTACCCATCGCTTACAAGTATCACAGTTGTTGGTATTCCTTGTCTGCGAGTTTCCAAAACACCGATTGAATTTTCCAGTGCACGTCCGATATATGTTGTCCCTTAATAACAAGCGGTTCTTTTCAAAATATTTGATCTACAATCCTAAACTGGATATTAACAGCATGAAACATTAAGCTGAGATGTATCCTATACAGAAATGACTGGAATTTTTATTATCACTTCTATAGAAGACACACCTATTCTAATGTTTCATGCTATTAGTCTGATCCTTCCTTATGCACAGAAAGAGGAAAGCTTTTACATCATATGATATATATATATATATTTTTTTTCTTCATTGGTGATAGCTTTGTAGAAAGTCTGTCTCGTTTAAATCTCATTGTTTTTAATTGAGGGTAAATTTGACTGATTATTGACTTTTCTAATCTAAGCTTAGCTAGTTTTTACCAAGTAATTTCTCATCAAAATAATGTACCGGTGAAATGTCGAACTTGAGTTAGCGCTTCCGCAATATCGTTGATATCTTTGTATGTATCAAATGTCCACTCAACTCTTTGATGTGAACTACCAGCGAATTGAATCAAAGCGACCCGTTGATCTCCTTCACCAATCTCAAAAAAGAATTTATTTTTTCTGATCGAAATAGTCATTTGAGAAACGCGCAAGTAATTGAGATACAGTAGCAGCGGCAGAGCGATTTGTAAATTCTCTTTAGATTTTTAACATTGAATTTTTTAATCTGTATATTAGAAAAACTTTGTCCTTTAGCGTATTTTCAAAGCATTGTAATTTATGGGATGTTTTAAATATAATGGTCGGCAACAAAATTTCCCACAAAATATGAAATATATGAAAATATTACTTGTAATTCATTGAGCAGTGACAAAAGATATTCTTTTTGTTGATCGTATATCCTTTGCACTGATCCAGAACTATCAACGATAAACAAAATTTCTCGTGGACACCGTCCTAAAAAATGATAAATAAATTATTCAATGGTCTCCTACACTGGCTTTCTTTACCTTGGCTTTTTTCAATGCTTCTAGCTGGTCCTGTTTTTCCTGATTTTCTTGCGGTTGAAATACGTTGCACTGTCACATGTCTGAAATAGTAATGAATTTGTTGTAGCCAACAAATCTCGAAATATCTTTCGGGAAAAACTATGTATGTTCATTAGGAATTTTTCAATGTTAAAATGTTAAAGCAGTTCGAAAATATAACGGACTGCGATGCTGATGTCGTCTTGTTGCTAAGAAGATCAGCCAGTCGTGAAGTTTCTCGACCTTGAGTAGATAAATGGTTTGTAGACGATGTTGTCACTTCCGTTCGTGGATGTCCCTTTCGTAGCTTCTTGGTAAATTTAAAAAGAGTCACACTATTTTCACTTTCTTCATCATTTTTAGTGTGCTGCAACTTTGAATTTTATAATTAATCACATTGCTAAGAAAAGAAATATTGCAGATGTTTTGCAGTAATTTTTTATATCATTAAAGTTAAATTAAGAAGACCAGCGCGATTATTCTGCATCACCGTTAGAAATTGGGATATTTTTATGATGTTACCAAAGAAAGTTCCTTTGATTATTTTCATAAAACTACATCTGACTAAAATATCAAAATCACTAACATCCTTAGTAAGCGTCGCTTGTTGGGGAGTGGTTATAGCTTCCACAAACTGTTCGTCAATATTGACCTTACTGATTGGTGCTTTATTAATATTTTCATCGCTGATTTTATCAAGTGCATCTGTTTCCAAAAGCTTCTCATCCTATAAGCATAACTTTCATGGGTCATTAGCAATGCTTATAAACAAGTTTTCCTATAGTCCATCTTCGGTACACTTTCAATTTCGAGTTTCAATCATGGCTTTTCAATTTGCACCCAGGTGAAAATTCATTTAATCATAAGACAAAACTTCTGGTTCAATGCTTATGATTTAAATCCAATTTAATACAAAAACCAATAAAGTTCGAGGATAATAACGATAAACATTCTAAGATGAATCTAATTTATAAAAGATATAACAAGCGCAATCATACCTCATCTTGAGATTCAGTTATTTGTTTGGTTGGAATTTTCCTGCTCTTATGTTTCAATTGTGTATCTTTCGTTAATGATCTATGTGATGTAGGATATGTCGTAGTTGACGTGCTTGTTCTGCTAACCGTAAGCAATTTTGATGTAGCGATCTTACTTGAAGAACGGGATGATTCGATCCCTGTTGCATTTAACATTGTTTTTATAGTAGCTGTTGGTATATCCCATTCCTTTTGAGTTTCGCATGTTTGGGCATTTTCCACTTCAGCGGTTAACATTTTTTTCAATCGAGTGAATTCATGCGATCTGAAATTATAAACTATTTAATTTTCTTTCCATACAATCCAATAGCAAAGTTAACTAAAAAAAGACCAGAAGAAAGTACTAAGCAATTATCAGTCCTTTTTTTTTTCTTTTTTTGAACGATGTTATTTATTTACTCCGACCATTAATTACAGTTTTCAATTCTAAAAATAAAGTATTTCCAAGCCAAAATAATTTTTTTTCAGCGACTTGTATATTTGGACAAAAAAGAAAATCAACTAACAATAGGTAAATTAAGATCTTCTGCAGACGGTTAGTTATATGTCAAAACATGGCATTCTTTAAAAGTTAAGCCATAAAAGAAGAATAGGACCAGTTTATTAAATATTACTTCATCAAAATTATGATATTCCGGATAATACTGTTTTTAATGAATGCAACATAATCAATATACCGTTTTATTCAGTTCTATTTGAAAAAAAAAATAGTGGATTATAAATTTGGAAATCAGAAACAGGCCGTTTCACTGATTTGACCGTTTTTGAAGATGTAATATATATCGCCAAACCAAATAATGAAAACCGCTTTGGTTTTGTCTTATTTCGAATCGGTCAACAGTGTCATCATCACTGTACTCTTTTATCCCGTCTCTTCAAACATAACATCTCAATCATTTTTTCTGACGGGAAATTTTAAACCCGCAAACTTGATTTCTTTAAATTGATTCTTTTAAAAACGATTCCTTTACTGAGCATTATACCACTACGTGTTAATTAAACGTTCACTTAATCTATGCGATTGTTCAGGTATATCATTAGCAATCATTCGAGTTTAATGATAATGCTACACGTTGAATTACTATCAAATTGCATGTATCCTTGACTCTACGAAATATTGTATTATAATTTATGAAATAATTGAACAAAATATAACGAGCCAACCCGAAGACATTCGATTTTTCACCAGCAATGCGGTTCATTTCAGATTCAAAACCATCCGATCCAGCATATACAACATAAATTTTGACTTTTTCAACTTCACGTAACTGCTGAGCGTGTTTTATAGGATCATCGACAGATAACCCATCCGTAAATAGAACAATAATTTTGCTAGCATTGGTTCTGAAATCACATTACCTATCCTTGAAACGTTCAAACTGTGTGCTGAAACACTATCTAACTCAACAAAATTAATATGTTCCGAAGTCTACAAAACAGGGCAAAATTTTTTTATCAAATATTTCTTCCCAAAATTGCAACGATCCAGCACATATGTTAGTTTTACAACAATATAGTTCAAGCTTCCAGCCTGTTTCAGAGAGGAAGAGACCGAGAAATATCGATGGTAGTAAATCAAATATGGAACAATCAGTGCATTTTTCTATGATTTGCATTAAAAAATTTCAGTATACTGATATTTTCTGGACAAAATTACTGTTCCAGCTAATAAATAGAGCCATTAGTGAAACGATATTGCAACCAATTTTCAACTAACCTGGCTCCTTTCTCTTCACTAAGCAATTCAGTTTTTGCTGCCAATAGTGCTTTACCTGTCCTGGTACCACCGGAATGAAAATTAATTGACATAATATGATTAGTAATATCACGCGGATCTCGATAAGCACCAAGAGAAAATTCGGTAATTGGTATTTCGGCATATTGAATTACGGCAATATGTACTTGATCCTTATCAGTTAGTAATGCTTCGGCAAGTTGATTTGTCCAATTAATATGTTGCGTATAGATATGCTCCAAGCTTCCAGAAGTATCCAGAAGAAACAACAAATCCACACCACATCCTCTCTTTATTGAATCTGTATCATTTGCATCATTTATATTTATCAACCAATGAATTAATGAAAGAAAATTATAGGATTTGGTACATGGTGCAATGCTATTTTAACAAGTTTAATTTTAGAACATTCAAAAATAATATATTATCCATATTTGTCCCGGTGAATCCCAAAACATCGTTACCGTCGTCATCCTGTTGCACAGATGATGACTGCCAAAGATTTTCTGGAGTTAATAGATCCCCTTCTCCGGATCCTTCGCCAGATCCTTCGAGACTATCATTTTGAGCACAGCATATAGAAATGAACAACACAAACCAGGCGAATCGAAAAGTCATGTTCATCGAAGTAGTTTCTGCTTTACATGACCCTTTTATCTTCTATGCCTCCTAAATGGGGTTTCCGGGGTAAAAAGGCCCGTCAGATTTGATCCGCCCATTTACATCTTATTCTTTCTTTCCTTCATCCTGGAAGAACAATTTAAATCCTTTTCTTAATCCATTATTGTCCACCACAACTGCCATCCTCATTAATCGTTTATGTAAATACAATCTTCTATCAGTGAGTGTAATTCTCTCTCTCAGCTTTTTTTCTTTTCTAAATTTCAACTACATATATACTAACTCGAATAAATCAATGCTATTAACAATGTATCCAACTTCATGATGATTATCAATAGATAACAGCAGCAACTGAATAGTTAATTATTATATAGCCAATCTCCTAAAGAAATGAATGACATCTCATGCCAGGATAGTTAGTTAGTATGTGAGGTATATGCCAGAGATTCTGTATCTTCTGCCAATCAAATAAATCAGAAAAGAGAATCACTGATGAAGTAATCGATTAGTAATCAAATAATGAAATGAATCCAACATTTACGATTATAACTTTGCTTTTATATAATAACACAAACACTACAGTTAGGTTTATTGAATATAATAAACTTGCAGTTATTTTTTATAAAATGCAGGTAATGTTCAGGTATTTAGCGCATGTGAAAACAGCAGCAACTTCTTGGAAAAAACGATCCTGAATATTCAGTCATTTTAATTCAGACCTTAAGTAGTTTGCCGGAAAATAAACTATTATTGTTGTATGGAAGACTTATTCCTGATAAATTAGTAAGCTGCATTATATACTTGAAAGCAATTATATATGGTATATAATAGATCTAACTTACCTTATAAAGAATAAAGCAGTCCCCACTTTATATTTAATATTGCTATCTTCAGCAAGATGAAATGGTATTATTGGAACCAAATGGATTGTCAGAATGATCGCGTGATAAGAGAATGGGATCAGTTCATGTTATCTTTTGCTCAACAATTTTTAATTCCTTTTTTTCTTAACTGTAATACACCACAAAATTATTTTGAAATTTAAACAACAAAAATATTTGTTGTTGTGGTTGTTCCTCTCTTTCTGTACTCTTATCTCTTTTTTATATCAAACAAAACAAAAAAATCACAACACGATGCAGACACATTTTTGTTCGATTTCGATGTCTCTTACATCACTTTTCACATCGTTCCCATTTCATAAATATCACAAGCAGCTCCATAACCCATCTCTTCAACAGTACTGTAGACAAGTCATCTAGGGAGTAATACCGTAAATTTATAGACATTGCCCATCGTTAAAATTAGTCATTCATTTTGATCAATCTATACAAAAAATTCCCATCAGAAAAATTATATGTTTTTTTAAAGATCAATCCTTCGTTGATCTTGTACCGCTACACAAATATGTGAAAATAGAAAAGTTACCAATTTATCAAATTACAAAGGACATAAAGAAGAAGAATAGCAACAGTGAAATACACTTACTGCACTAACAGTGCCCAAGTCCACTAAATAAGCAGAAGTTGTACTGCTTATCTCCTGGCAGTTTCATTCATTCCAAACCTATTTACTACAAATAATAGAAAATATAAAGGTTAAAAATAGCACTGCTTAACCTTAAAAATTGACTTACGAAATTCTTAGAGTTGTTGAAAAGTGATTCACAAATTAAACATACAGACAAAGGCTGATTTATATTAGAAAATTTTTTGCCTTGCACATTCAAGCACCACAATGCGCGTTATTATTATCGGTTTGTTCTATATAAAAGGTAAAAGTTAAATTTATAGCCGACGGCTTCTTTGTCATCCGCACACATCATCAACGATACAGGGTTCAGTATATGTACCCGTGCATGAATTTATACTCATTTCAGGCATTCAAATGAGTTAATTTGAGCGTTCGGGATATACATGTAATTAAAACAAACTATTTAGTCAAATGATCGCGCTAATGTTATAATTAAAGCCAATAGACAGGCAATCATACATTGACTGTCCATATTTTTAAAACTGAATCCTGTCCAACGGTGATGATCCGATTCGGACCAAGCCAAGCAATTCCATTAATTTGGCTCATTGTATGCGCCCCTGAAAACAATTCAAAAAATATGCACGATTGAATATAGACACCTCTCAAGGGAAACACAGGTAATCAATAAATGAAACTTAATAATTCAGATTTAATTCAAAGTATGCATTCCGTAAAACCTTGCATTCAATATGAAAATATGAGTTCTAAAACGAGCGGTGATTAACCTTTGATGATTATTGGATGTTCCCCACTGTGTTTCAAATCCCATACGATGACATTCGTATCAATGCCACCAGTTGCAACAAAACGACTATCTGGTGACCAGGCGGAACAATTCACTCTAGCTGAATGAAAGGTCCAGTCTTTCTCTGTGACACATTTATAGTCATTATCCACGGAATAAGGTATTACCTGCAAGAACTTATGACTTAAATTTAGCTGCTAAATATTTAAAATAAGTTAACTACAGCTCTTAAAGCTCCAATACTTCCTCTGTTGTAAACGTTCTCTATTTCAAGCGATTAAAGAATAAAAATAATGGAAGTTAACTACAAAAAATGTGTTGTACTACAAAAAAATATTTCATTTAAATTTCAAGATTGTCGAAGTTAGTCATGACAATGAAGAGAGGAAAGGAGCTCATTTGTATCATTTCAAAACTGCGTCACTAATTTACCAAATGAAGTAGCATTTTCGACTTGACAGTGAAAACCCTATTGTTGATTGTCTAAAGTAATGGATAGTCTGAAACACTGTGCCAACTACAGCATTCCTGTATTGCAGTGAGATGTGTCCCTTACTTAAAATCAGTTGCTCACTAGTAACGAATAACACATAACTAGGATGGCTAAAAAAACCAAGGTACCTTTCTATTTGCATCTGTTGCAACAAGAAAATTTCCGTTCGGACTCCACGAAAGTGAAGTAATGGATCCAGTTTGTGAGATCGTTTTTATTTCTTTCATTTGATTGCCATTTAGTTCATAAATGTGTACCTTACCCTCCTGGAAAACATCATTTGGAAAGAAATAATAAAACAACACATTAGGAAGAATTCATTTTATGTCTATTTGATAAAAGATAGTTATTCTTAGTACCTGACTACCAACAGCGGTAAGCTTGGAATCTGGAGCAATAGCAACACAAGAAGCTTCGTAGTCAATGTTTTCTAAGATTGTTTGTCTGTCATCCGAGAAAACAGTAACTGATTTCTGGCACGCAATAACTGCAATCTTACCACCAGAACCTAATGCAAGTTGTCGCGGTTGTGATGATAATTTTATCTTGTTTGACTGAACATGATCTAAAAATAATGCAGCAACTGGAACACCTTATGAATATTTATATAACAAGGGAATGATTAGTCAAATAAATCAAAATCTAAATAAATTAAAATTCTACTTCTATCGAAAACAAAACTCACCGAACGAACCAGGAAAAGAAGTAAAAGCAACTGAGTCATCCCACCCAACCGATATCAAATCACCATTTGGTGAGATACTCATATCTGATACCTGCAACGGCATGCAGCAAACAACTATGCCGGGATCATCTTGTCTGTACAAAGAATGACAATTAATTATATATGCCATTGGAATTTAAAAAAATTATCAAAATAGTAAAACTCTGCACTACAATAATGATAAACAAAAACTGCCAAAATATCTAACTTGTGAACTGTGTACAGCAGGTAACAACCTCTCCGAATCTCCTGAATTAAGGCACCACCGAGCTGCAACAGAGCTTTCATTTTGACATATAAATCAGGAACAGGTCTTTTGTAGGAAATGACAAGCAGTTAGTTGTCTCGATGTACTTTGGGAATGAAAAACTTTTCATTTCTGATTCACATTATCCTGCCCACTGATAATAAAAAGGATCTAGCAAAAACTGAATTAACAACTTTTATGCTAAAAACAGTGAGATACCAATGGAGACTGATATAAATACATTATGGTAAACAGCTTCTACCAATTTGAAAAAAAAATCGATACGAGAATAAGAGACACAATATACGAACAAGCCAAACTGTGGACTGTGTTCTTTCTTAATTTATGAAAACTTACTGATATTTCCTTCAAAATCTGCTGTGAAAGCCAACGCTTTCTCCGGGCACACAGCAAGAGCTGTTATTGGCTTGTTATGTCCTTTCAAAACTTTTGATACCGAACCGCTCTCTAAGTCCAAAATATTTATGAAACCCGAGAGGCTCACTCCAGCAAGAAAAACTTTTGTCCAAATGACGCAAAGCTGTTGATCATCGACATTTTTTCCTATCACAAAAGTTCTGAAGATAAAATCACAAGTATTCGTCAATTCCGAAAAAATGTGCAAAGAAAATCTTCGAATATTAACTGACTTCTCCAATTTCTTTGAAGCAACATCCCAAATTTTGATGGTTTTGTCCCCGGATGCAGTTGCAATACGCTGCCCATCCGGAGACCAACATAATGCAAAAACGCTTCCAGCATGTGCCACACCTTTACACTGGTCATCCACAAGTTCTCCTTCTTTTTGACCACTTATTCCTTCGTACAGTATCACCTGAAGCTCACGATAAATACCATATTACAACTCAACTGATTAAATGATCAAATCAGCTTCCAAATATAAAACACAAAAGTAGTAAAGCAAAATTAACCGAACCTTTCCATCTGCCCCCGAACTAGCGAACAGTGTACCAACAGCGTTATACCGAACACAATAAACAAAACGGGTATGTTCGTGAAAGAGCTGCAACTCCAAAAGATATTATATATAAAATTAATTTTAAAAATTTAAATTTTTATACAATACAGAAGTCTTATATTCTAAGATAAAGTACATTAAGACTAGATAAAATTATAGACTTACAGTCAAAAATTTAAACGGAGGTCCTTCGAAGAGGGCAACAGTATTGTCTTCTGAACCACTCACAAGTCTATATGGTCTAGCAGGACGAAAATCAATACTCGACATTAT